TTTCGTTTCTAAAACACTATCAGGTGAAAATGTTTTCAGACATAGTACTGTAAAGAGTCTATCAGGTGAAATCGTTTTCAGGCATATTACTGTAGAATCTCACACTAAAATACTATCATCAGGTGAAAATGTTTTCAGACATAGTACTGTAAAGAGTCTATCAGGTGAAATCATTTTCAGACATAGTATTGTAGAATGTCATCTCAAAAATATTAATAGGTACAAATGTTTTCAGGCATAGCACTGTAAAAAGTTTTCAGACATATCACTGTAAAAAGTTTTCAGGCATAGTATTGTAGAATATCATCTCCAAAACATTATCAGGTAAAAATGTTTTCAGGCATAGTGTAGAATCTCGTTTCTGAAACACTGTCAGGTAAAAATGTTTTCAGGCATAGTACTATAGAAAGTCTATCAGGTAAAAATATTTTCAGACATAGTACTATAAAAAGTCTATCAAGTGAAAATGTTTTCAGTACTCGCTACCTAAAGTCAACATTAATTAATATTTGTATGGTGATAAATTATTATTATTATTCCAGATATTCATACATCAGATATACCTTGAGGACAAGGTTCACATCCAGGATGGCCGGATGTTAGCTTCCAGTATTTATTACATAAATATTTGCTAAACACTCCCTGTAGTATTTTTGGATGCGGTGCGTCTTTCGCTGACACAAGATTTTCTAATATTTCGATGAGTGGACAAACGCGGTTTTAACAAGAAAGAAAGGGAAATATAGACCGGCATTGATACATTCATTATTAGCTGTTCAACCATTATTGATTAATAAAGTTTATTTTTGTAAAGTGAATTTCTATTACCCCTTAGCTAATAACACGCTAATTCAAGAAGAATAGCAATCACAACAACACCCACAAGAACTAAACTTAAACGACAACACCCAATCAGGTCCAAGTACAAGCAAGAAAAGACGTTTGTTGAAAAGGAGGACCCCATTCCTAATTTAAGGATATGTAAGGAAACTTGCGATACAATAGTAGTGCAGGTAAATTAACGTTTTAGTTTTACTACCTACCTAACAATTGCAAATTTATTTGATAGTGAAAAATTTAAAGACTACTGAGGTTGTTTTCCAAATGAGGACTTTAAAACTGTGTGTAGTTTATTTCCAAACGTAAACAGCTTAAAATTCAAAAACGAACTGTCCATACTTTACACCCGAGATGACTTTGTGCAACACAATGGGGCCGTACCGTTATTACAAATGTTTTTTGAGAATAATTTGACAATTAGCAGTTAGTCTTCAATTTTGTAATATTTAATTTGTTTTGAAATAAATATATTTAATTTTCATTAAGCGGAGAACTTGTTTTCCTAAGGGAAAAACGAATCCAAGGATTCCTTTCCAGTGTGTGTCCACTGCCGCTAGTGCCCACGAGCCGCCACTGGACTTTACGTGACTAAACTTGTCGCTTATCTGACGATATAGTTCACAACGTAAAAGGTTAGTACTTTTTTAATACTGTTTTTAAATATGTAACGCTAAAAGGAAGCTAAATATATATTTATTAAATAATTGATATTTGTTTTTGCTAACAATTTCAATTTTTAGATGCCAGAGTAACTAAAAAGGCCGCTTGTACTTCGGAAGCACTTAATCGATCCGTGAAGCTTTTTCAAGATGGCGGTTCCGTTCGAGCAGCTTTAAAATCTATGAAAATAATCTTTTCAATTCTAAAGGAAAGAATGAAAAAGCATTTGTACTCAGATCCAAGTCTTGAAAGGCATTTAGTACTGAAGTAGAAAACAAAATGGCCAAAGAAATACAATACTTATTTGGTAAATATTTTCTAGGGCCATACGTCCATTTAAATTAGGAAAATGGCATACCAGTATGCAGACATTTACGATATTAAGCACAATTTCAGTACTGGTTATAAAATTGCAGGATGTGGCTGATTGACATGATTTCTAAAAAGAAATAATATTTCCGTTCTAAAGCCGGAAGCTACAAGACATGTCTTTCTATAAATTATTAGAAAAAGTGATGGTAAAATAAAGATGTGTCCAAGAAATATGTATAATTGAGAATAAACAGGTATTTCCACTGTGCAAGATCCCGGTAAGATATTGGCAGAGAAAAAACAAAAGAGAGTTGTCTCAATAAGTAGTTGGGAAAGAGGTAAAAATATTACTGCATTATGTGTCATGAATGGTACGTATGGATTTATACCCCCACATTTATTCATCCAAGGAAACGGACACCTCTCCTTGGGAAATATGGATCAATAGGGGCAATTTATAAATGCTCAGACAATGGATGGAAAAATAAAAACCTAGACCTGTTTAGTACGTCAACATCAAAGAAGTTAGAGTAAATTTATTCAATATCAACGAAGTTCGAGGAAATTCCTTCAGCATTAACAAAGTTGAAGGAAATTGCTTTAGCATTAAAACAGTTGAAGGAAATTCCTTCAGTATTAACACAGTTGGATCCAATTCCATGGGTATTATTGAATTTGCATGCAATTCTCTCAATATAAAAAGTATATGTTTCCTCAAATTTTCAATAAGATACATCTTCGTCAAAAACGTTAACTAGAGTCCGAGATCTTCTTCCAATGGCCACCTGCAAAAACTAGAAAAGATCAAAAGAAGCAACACGCAATTATTTTAATTAAGAAAATATAATAGAAAAATAAAATTAAAAAAAAATGCAAAAAGCAGAAAGAAAAATTAAAAAATAAGGACAATACCTACTCTTACTTAAAAGCAGTTAAACCACTTTCGACTTTTGGTTCTGATTTTACACCTATTTCAAAAAAATAGGTTCATCAGCTTACAATACTTTTGCATATCAACACACAAAAATGTTATCTTAGATTCAGAAAAAAGACGTTGAGGCTATATCTCTAATTTCGTTGAAGAAGGTAAATATCCGGTCAGGTGGCAGAAATCCCTACGCCGGACGTTGCAAAACTGAATGATAGAAAAGGATTGAAAATGGATTTTTAAGGAGTTATTGACGTCTAGCAGAATATATTTCATTGCACAATACAAAAATTCAGCCGATAAAGCAACTTTGAATTTCACATGACCGCTTCCATCACCTGGACATAGTACATGTTCCCCCCCTTTCTTGTACCCAAAAATAAGCTAAGGAACTATAAGGGTGCCAGTATTCTTTAAATAATTCATCTATCAATACCACTAATCCAATTATTTGTAAATTAAATTTCTTTTTTAGAATATGTGTCGCACCCTATATAAAAAATAAAATTCACATAAATATTAACAAACTCAAAGAATGGTTTGTAACAAAAAAAAAAACGGAGAGTTTAAAAGCCACTTAAATTTATTAAAACACTTAAAATAGAAAAAATATACATTTTGTGGTACGTTTTACTTATATTAATCAGAACCTAAACAAAAACAAACATTGGTCCACTTTATTATATAAGTACCTACGTACACTGATAATATATATACACAAAAATATGTTTGGAATGTTTTGACGATTAAATTAATGAAATTTGTCTTCTGTAGGTCATGATCATTTAAAGCAATTCAAATAACTTTTTCTTGCCAACGGTTGTATTGGTAAGTTATTTTTGCGCGTTAAACCTGAAGCGATGTTTTAGTGTCTTTTTTTATTAATCTTGACGTAGCATAATGTAACCATAGTCAACTTTTTGCGGAAAGGTCCGATTAAGATGCGGTTTTCTGCAAAATGTTCAGGAAACCGTCTATAACAAAAAGTATCTAACCTCTGTACGCTCGCAAATTCATATTTGTTTATTTAACAAATGAGGCATTTTTGTTAGAGCGTTCAACGAAAATGTCCGGAAAATGTTCTCTCAGAGAGTTTCGAGGTATCTCTTCATCAATTTGGTGTCAGATTTAATATTTATTGCTAAATTGTTGTAACTTGGCTAATTAACAAATGAAAAATTCAACCCCCAAAATCACTGGAGAACCGAAATTTTTTCCTGCATTTCTGGCTTGTTAAGGCGAACCATTGGCACAAGATTTTTGCAAACATAATTGTTTATTGTTCGATTGTTGCCACCTCGCTAATTAACAAATTAATAACACTCGAAATCGGTAGAGAACCGGACTTTTTTACGATATCTCTGGTTTCTTGAGGCGAACCATTGCCACAAGGTTGTTGCACGTAAATGGTTATGACAAAAGAACTACGAAATCTTCTGAAATAAATCGAAGAGCTGCTAAGCTAAGCTAAGCTAAGAGCTAAGAGCTGTTTAATATGAGTTTCAGAAAGATATGTTGTTGGAGATCTCGCAAGAGTTATTTCTGGCAAGTCCAAAGAATAAATCAAGATTCATTAAAATATTAATCGAAGTTTTAGAAGAGAATAATTTTAAATGCAAGCAATCCAATGGTGATGCGGATACATTAATAGTATCTACAGCTATAGCAGAAGCAAACAGCTCTGCCTGCGATTCAAAAGTAGCTATTGGTGCGGAGGACATAGATGTTTTAGTGATATTGGTGGCATTAGCTTTGTACGCGGTAACAACCCTAAACCAAATTATTACTAACAGTAACGATTTCGCAGGCGCAGTAGTTAAAATACGTTCGCGGAACAAAAAGAACTGAACTATTATCCTGCGTTCGCGGTAAAATTATTATTGGTTTTGAACCGTTTGTCTATACCTAAAATACCGAAATATAATAGGGATTGCGCGCTCAAAGTATGAATTAGTAATTTTCAATCAGTTCAGGATTGTTACCACGAACGAAGCTATTAAGACTCGATGACAAAGAGATATTTTACATCAAGCCACCAAAAGGTAAAACACCCGGTGCAACTTATTCATATAAAAGTTTAAATCATTCACCAGTAGTTAAAGAAAACATTTCATTCTTACACGCTATATCAGGAACTGACACAACATCTGCGTTTTATGGAAAAGGAAAGACTAAACTAGCAGGAATATTAAAAAAATCTACAGAATTAGAAGATGCTGGAAAATTGTTTAAACAACCTGATGCTCATCTACATGACCTTATGATAAATGAAATAAAATTTATTTTGGCTTTGTACGGTGCAAAAAATTATAACAAAGGATTGAATGACTTCAGATTTGAGTATTTTTGCAAAAATGTAGCATCTAAGAAGACAAAAGTACTTTTGGGCTCTTTACCACCTACTGAAGATGTAGCTGTACAACACATCAAGAAAGTTTATCTCCAATATCAATGCTGGATGGGAAACATTTTGGACCCCAGTGACTGGGGCTGGGAATTTGATACTAGGAAGAATTTTTACAAACCGATTCTGATTACTAATGAAGCTGCCCAATCTTCTCTACTAGAGGTCATATTTTGTTCATGCAAAACCACAGGCTGTGCAATAGTGTGTGGGTGCAGAAAAGCGGGATTGTATTGCCCTGAAGAATGTGTGAATTGTGCCGTGAATGATTGCACAAACTGCAAACGTGTGCTTATAGAAGATGCAGACGAAGGCGTTGATTTTGTACCTCCACCGAGCATTGACATTATCCCCCCCAACAATGTTTCTGTAGTTGACTATTTCGAAACAGATTAAATTGACGGAAGTTTTTGTGAAGACGTGCAATAAGAATCTTTGTTCAAATGTAAAGCTTATCAGTACGTGCATGGTATTTTGCCAATAAAGAGCAATCATTAATAATATATCGTTGTGTTATTTAAGTAACCTCCATTACCTACACAGTTTTAATACAAGAACAATTTATAGCCCTTGGCTATGAGTTCTGAATAGCCCCCATTGCATTACAGAAAAAATACCAGTTTCTGACCTTTGTTGGATGACAGTTATTAATTTGTTAATTAACCAGGTTGCAACAATTCAAAAATAAACAAACAATAAACAAATAAACAAAATCTGGGTTTCTAACGATTCCGGGAGTCGAGTTAATTATTTGTTAATTAGCGAGGTCGCAACAATCGAACAATAAACAATTATATTTGCAAAAATCTTGTGCCGATGGTTCGCCTTAACAAGACAGACATTTTGGAAAAAATTCCGATTCTCTAGTGATTTCAGAGGTTGAGTTTTTCATTTGTTAATTAGCCAAGTTACAACAATTTAGCAATAAATAATAAATCTGACACCAAAGTGATAAAAAGGGACTTTGAAACCCCAGAGAGAACATTTTCTAGACATTTTCGTTGAACCGCCTGTGACATTTGCCACATATTCATCTACACTCTAACCAAAATGCCCCAAAAACAGAATAAGAGACAAGTGACACTTTGTATTGAACCTCGTTGACTTTCCATGTTTTGTTGGATATCTGGTACTACGCACATTTTGTTCAACTGCCTTTTTGAAATATATTTGTGTATTTTCACTATTCGTGTCTACGACTGACCTGTTTACTTGTAAGAAGGGTGATACCCTTTCCCAGCTAGCCCAAATCACCACCAAATTTTGGGACTATCCACTAAATAGTACATAAAGGGCCGCAACTTTGCTTCACCTTCTATAAGAAAGCTTCTTACCTCCACCTGGTGAGTTTCTATTACTTTATCATTCCCAATACTTGGGTGTGACCCACTGTACGAGAAACCTACTCTAGAATATCTGTCAATTGGTTTGAACATACCGCCTCCTCCTCTGCAACTCTGCTATGTCAGTACTTTATTGCTTTATACTCTTACAAGCAATACCTCTCGACCTCCATTATGTCTCCTTTCTTAATTCATACACTGAAACACATTGACTCTACCACCTAGAGTCACACTTGATTCTACTTGGAATACCAATCACTTTTATATCTCTGATAGAAAAATTTTTACCTCACTGGTTTTTTGTTATATGTTACAGTAAAACTTCTCAATAGCAACCACTAAAATGTTTAGCACTAATTAGCCATTTAAGGGGGTGACCGGTTCTGCGGGAATATTTAAAATAAATTTTCTCGATTTTGGTGCAAGAATGTCATATTCTCGCACGCAAAATCGTTTAGACAACCCTTTAGACATACCAATCCTTATCACCGCGTTTCATTTTTTGGAATGTCTCTTAGAGCATATAAGACTAGATATATCATTCAATGTATTTTGTTATGTATAAGCTGGGTCATCACTTTTGGCGTGAAGGGAGAGGGGTAGGTACTCCATTCTCAATGGCGTATGGTTTGAAAGGGTTCATATTTATGTTTACCATTTATGGACTGTAATTTCACAATAATAATTTAGATAATTGATTCAGATGATTAATAAACAAACTTATTTAACAATGTTCTTTTTCTATTTATGTTAATCTTTCGTTATACACTGTATTATAAACAAGTTTTACAGGAAATGACTATATGTTCGTTTAGGACTGAAACCTTTTTTTTATTGTAGATAAGTTTTAAAACTGTATACTTTCAACTGAATTCGTGGTCACACAATATTTTTGTTTAGTTCAAGTAGATCATTTAGAAACTAAAATCTTTTTTATATAGAGTAAATAGAAAAATAAAAACAAATAACAATAATTTATTTCTAGTAGTAATAATATTAAATGTACATGTTTTATAATAAAATTATTAATCAATGTAATCAAAACATAGTTATTAGTTGTTCCTAGATATGTGTGTAGAAGTAAGCTATTTATAAAACAAAACAAAAAATGAAATAAACATTAATGCTACTGAATTCCCATGAAATTTATTTATTATTTGTTTAGGTCACCACTTAACAGTTAAAAACGAATTACAAACTATAAAATGGGATGAATACAGAAAAAATACATTTTATTCGCGAGACATATCATACACATTTTCAGGCAAAAAATATTCAGTTACATTTTACTGTCTATATTAGAGCACAAAACATTTTAAAATTATCACACAAAAACTTACATACTGTTACGCAGCACCCTGTAGTAGTCTGCGGCTATCATAGGAAACGTACAGATAGAAGAAGAAGTGGAATGTTACTCATCGCTCTACAGTGTGTTGCTGTCGTCATAAGTAAAAGTACAAGTAAAAGAAGACAGAATATTCGAGAAATGTCCAGAAATGTCATTACACGTCAAGAACATTCTAGATGACATTTCTAGAAGGTTCGAGAAGGTCAACAAGCTATATAAGTCGACGACCTGACGTCAGAGTTTTAGTTTTATTAGAGACGTTACACCTGAATGTTATCAGTTGTAAAGTTATTGTCAAAGTTGAATTATAGTTATTGTAAAGTTCAGTTGAAATAAATTGTGATACCAAAAACCAGCGTAACAATACTATTAATATATACACAATAGGTACTATATATCAAATCAAATCAAATTTATTCATTAAAATAATTTACATTTTTTTAACAATTTTTTAAGACCCGCCTAAACAAAGTTTGTGTGCGGAATCTTTATATTAGTTTTTTTTTACGTTTTATAAATGCTGTTTAATTTAAATCTAAGTATATACTATAGAAACAAAAACAAAGAATTTAGAATTTTAAAATACAACAAAAAAAAAGAAAAAGATAGAGAAATATGGAAATACAAAAATCAAAACAATTATAAAAATAAAAATTAGCAGAAATTATAAAAATAGCAAAAATAATAAATAGCAAAAATTATAAAAATATAAAATACAAGACTAATAAAGAAAAAGAAAAGAAAGGCTACTCTCTGATACTGAAGAATATGTAATTATGTAGCATGAAATTAATATAAAACATTAAATATTTCCTTCTTAATTTTACTGTAGTTTTTCTGTACAAATATTTTAAGTTAATTTTTTAAAGATTTGTAATATTTTTTATGTATGTAGGAATTAGGTTATATATTTTGGGGCCAAAATACGAGATAAAGTTTTGGGTGTGCATTTTTTTAAAAAGAGGAATTGGCATATGCTTATTTAGTAGAGCTCTTGTGGAAGTAGTGTGTAAAAGCTTAGGAAGTTTTTCAGTATTAGAAATTGCCCATAAAGATGTTTGGTAAATATATAGTTGTTTAATATTGAAAATGTCTAATTCTTTATATAATAGCTTTGTTGGATATCTAAGGTCCTTTCTGAACAATATTTTTAACAACGTATTCTGTGTCGAGTCCAGCCCATCGAGAGCGTTGTCTAGAAGCCCACCCCATATTAGAATGCCATATCTTAGCAGCGACTCAGCTAAGGCATTATAAATAAGTAGAAACAGTTCTTTTTTAAGAATATTTCGAATTTGATAAAATAAATATATAAGTTTTCTTATTCTCTTGTTTAAAAAAATGACATGTTCGTTCCATCTAAGATGTTGATCAACCATTAACCCCAAATATTTTATTTTATTTTCTTTTTGTATCGTTACACACTGACAAATCGGTCCTTTATTGCAGTTATGATTGTAAAGCTTTAAAATCTGTTGATTTGGTTGATCAGCATTTGTTAGTGAAAATGTAATAAATTTTGTTTTGGAGACATTGAGACTCAGAAGACTATTATCAAGCCACATCTTTATCTTACTCAAACCATCCTCAGCTTTTAGAAAGACTTCTTTCCAGCTCTCCCCCTTATAGATAATAACAGTATCACCTGCATAAGAAATAATTTTTCCTATATTTTTAATATTATAAATACAGTTAATGTATATTAAAAAAAGAATTGGGCCAAGTACCGTTCCCTGAGGCACGCCCCTACAAACGGTCATTGGGTCACTAAGTAGGCTACCAATTCTAACGAACTGGGTTCGCTGTGATAGATAGTCCCTGAAAAGGTCCAACGTTAATCCTCTCATACCTATTATTTCTAATCTTTCCAACAACAATCTGTGATCAACTGTGTCAAATGCCTTGGCTAAGTCTAAGAATATCGCTAGGCATTTTTTATTGTTGTCAATACCATTAATAATATTTTGCACAAAGTCTAGAAGCGCATCTTGACAGCAAAGAGTTTTCCTAAAACCATATTGACTTGTACTTAATATTTTGTTTTGTTCAATAAATTCAACTAACCTTTTTTTTAAACATTGCTCAAAAGGCTTTGAAATATTATTTATGACTGATATAGGCCTGTAGTTAGTGGCTAGTTCTTTTTTCCTGATTTATAGACGGGTGTTATTACAGATTCTTTAAATGATATTGGTATTTTGCCAGTGGTTAATATTTGGTTGAAAATGTGTGCTAATGGGTTTAGGATGTAAGGGTGTATATTTTTAATTGTAGTTACCGATAATCCATCCAGGCCACTTGCCGATTTATTTTTTAATAGTGATAAATGCTTTATTAATTCGTTGTTTTTAATGGGGTACATAAACAGAGAATTGCCACTAGAATTATGGATTATAGTTTTAGTAGAAGCAGTTATATTAGGACTATCAATTTTTTTATTATTTTATTACCTATTTCTGCAAAAAAATAATTAAATACATTTGCTTTAGTTTTATTACATTTAACTTTTTCTCCCTTTTCATTTATGATATTGTAACTTTCTTTTTTGTTATTTTTTTCTGTGTTAGATGCCTTTTTTACTGTGTCCCAAATTTTTTTATAATTATTTTTTGCTTTTGTAATTTCAGATTGGTAGTAATTATTTTTTACTTCTTTAATTAATTTGGTTAAAAAATTTCGGTACCTTTTGTATTCTTGCAGAAGTTCATTACTATTTTTATTCCTAAGATATTGTTTTTTTAGGTAATCTCTACGTCTTATAGATTTAATTATGCCCAAGGTAATCCGGTTTGATCTTATAATATACATGCAAGAGATAATATAAAATACAGTAAGAACCTAACTATTTGTAATAGACATATTTATTAACTTTACAAGCAGAACACAATAGCTTCTTTTGCTTCAACTGACTGATTTTGTTGAAACTTGCTGCCAACATCAACATATCCAATATATTTTTGGCCAGTTCATTCCACCCTTTGCTTAATTGCCATTTCATTCATCAAAACATTCAAAAAACCTTCTTATAACCTTTTGACTTTCTCCGCCTTTAAATTTCAATGCTCTTCAGTGAATTTTGGAGAACTATCAACAGCCTAATACCACTTTGATAAATTACGGGGATGTGGGAGACAATTGTTAAAATTTTTTCTTACATATGTATAAGCCTTCATACTGTAGAAGCTTAAAGTTAGTGCAAACGCTCTTAATTCAGTGGAGTATTTTGTTCCGGAGTGAATTTTAATTACTCTCTTGGCCAATTCCTTAGATCCACTTGCTAAAGTAGTCGAAAAAATAAACTAATTTGATCTAAAATAACATATATAAATAAAATGTTTCCTCATCATTGAAAACATTTATGAAAATTGCTGGAATTAATTCTTACATCCACAAGTGTATGTTGATAAAAGAATTATTTTTTATGTATATCCTGTCATACTATTTAAAGATTCCAATCTACTTTGAAATATATTTCTTCTTAGTTTTTAATTTTTTTTTTTTGGCACAGAATCTTCTTTTGGAGCTAATTTTCTATCAAAAAATAACTGTTTAAATATTTTTTTTGAGCATTGCTTTCCTAAAAGCATTTAGTGTAGATGAATAGGAGCTTACAAATATTGTGGTTTTAGGTGATGAGTTTATCAAATTTTAAACAATTTTTTGTTTTCTAAAGAGAGTTAAAGATTGAAGATTCCTGTCTTGCATATTTTCGTCCCTACAAATGAAATATACATAAAATGTATTCTGCAGATTTAATAATAATAATATACATTTAATTAAATTTTAAAAATTCCAACGGCTATTATTACCAGTACCTGTTTGATTTTTAAAAATATAAGATCTAATCATACCTTTTCGTTAGCCTTCTACCTTTCTTTTCCAACTTCAAAATTCCCAATGATGGAAACTGAGATAAGAGCATATTTTCTTTACTGTCGTTATTTTAAAGTCTGTAAACAATAATGTAATAATAATATTTACATGTTTACTATTTAACAAAATAAGGAAATAAGTGTGTTTTGAAAGTAACATATATATAAATATCTAATTACTTTACTTCTAGTGTTTATATGGAAAAAACTTACACATTTCGAAAGCATAGTACAGGTACAGCTTCTGGTATAGGACCTTTTATTAATCTATTGCTACCTTTATACTAATGTTCAGTTTAAAATGGTCTGAACACAGACATGTGTTGTTAGAAATGCTATTAATGCTCAAATGACAATTTGGTTGGGAGATTAGCAGGAAATCTGAAATAAGTAAAAAAAAAGATTTAAAATATTAATTGCAGTTGAATAAATTATGGGCAATACAAGAATATATCTAATCCATTTTACATTATACGAAAAGACATAAATTAAGCATTATCGCAAAGAAAACAGCTATTTTCTGTCGAACGCAACCGGTTACGATGATGCTCAAATGAAAAACATTCTACAAACATGTTTTCTTATTCACTTGCTCATTTCCCATTTTAAGTTACGTTTATGGAATATAGAACACTTACTTGTGAAACGTCAACCAGGATCCTTTTAAGAATTTATTATTGCAAACTACATAAGCTTTAGGCATGATTAGCACTTATTTTATAATAAAAATACACGTAAAAAGTTAATTGTCTTTGGGAGCCACATAAAATATCTTTTTAAAATCAAAAAGAAGACGTCAAATGAAATATCAATTATCACAAATACGCGCGTTATTTAAATTTGCCAATCATAAATCGTCGTGTTCCTAACTGGCCAATCATAATGCGTCGTGTTTCTAACACCGAAAGGGATACCCCCTCAGTACATAACAAACCAATTTAAGTAACACCTCTAGTCTTACATGCTCTAAGTGTCTGATTTATTCCACCTGACAGTTGGTTATTAACTAACCATTTGACATATTGACATATTTGACATATGACAACTAACAACGACCACAAAAAAAACAGTAACTAAAACCCAAAATCGAGAAAATAGTACAAGACATACGTTGCAGAAGGCTGTTCTCGCTCTTTCGTCGCTCGTGGCCAAATTTCGAATTCGTGCGGGAATATGTGACCTTCTGCGACTTGTATTTTAATATACTACAGTGTGTAATGTGAATAAAATAGAGCATTTGCTTTGATTTACTTGCACAAGGATACTCTTTTTATAAATATGACAAAGATATGCCTATAGTAAATTCCTAATTGTAATATATACATCGTTTATATGCTTTTTATTATAAAAATCCAATAAGATTGTCTTTGTTTACCTTTGTCATGATTGGTTTGAGGTGATGACGGCGTTTCGCTCCGTCCCGTACTCTGCTTTGTCCGAGTGAGGGCGATTACTCCTAGATGTAAAATAACACTGTTGTTGACCCTTTGTTGCATATTCTTCGATCAAAAAATATTACATCTAATAATATACTCTAAATGCAGTTGTTTAATTTAAAAATAAACGAAGGTTTCAGTGCAACAATCATACTGAAATAACTAGTATCTATGTATCAAAAGATTTAGTGAACATGACAGTATTTGGCATTTTTATTCCTTTTATTCTCAGAAATCCATGTGTACTTTTTATATTTTTTTTAAACCGAAACCTTTATCAATTCTTCTATGATACGAATACATTTTTTAGATACTTAATATATTTAAAATTGAATGTGTGAGAAGTCTGCAACAAAGTGCGTTTTTATGACTATTCTTTTAAAGCGAACGTAAACCTTAAGAAGCCAAAACTAACCCGCTAGTTAAAGGTGGCTGTACTTCCGTAACATTCTACTTTCAAATACGAAAAGTATTAACTACTTATACATTTTTATAACGTTTTTCACATTATGGACCCTTGTTACTTACTACATACCAACTGCTAACGAGTTGTTTATTTGTAACTTACTACTATTTTAATGTTTGTTTTCCTATCTTAAGTTAAAATTTTATGTATTATTAAAACAGGTGAGAATAAAAGTGGCTTATCTCCCATTTTTTTAAGTTAAAGTAAATGTTAATTGTAGATTTGTGTCGTTTTTTTTTTAAATTGTCACATCTTTTCCTTCTGGTGTCAGTTACCAGGTACTTACATGCTTTTTAAGTATCCATCATACAAAAAAATCCATACATTTTATTTTTGGTTCACAGATAACAAAATTGCACATAACTACAGTTTACTATCAATACTAATTCTGCCCTCCTAAGCCAAAAAGCTGTATCTCAGTTGAAGCGAGTTTCGAGAAAAAACACATGTTCTAGAAGTTGTTATCGCGTTCCCTCGAGACGATGAAAATAATTTAGGTACCACTAGATATGTAAATTTGCTTAGGCGAAATTTTGATATTTTTCTTAGTTCATCTGATGCGGAACGTTTTAAGCTATCTGATGCGTTAAAAAATAAAAAGTCGTTTTTTAGATACCGCTTTCTGGCTTGGGAGGTCATAATTGTATACCTACAAATTTAATAATATTAATTTTCTAATCTTCATCTATAAGTTGTGGTGAGCGAAGTATAGTTTCTACACTACTATCTTTTTGTTCAGTATCTTCAGAAGAAGATTTATCAGTTAGAGCTTCATCACCTTTCGAATCTTCATTTTGAGTATCTGGACTTAATTTTTCAGAGAAGTCATCATCTTCTTCGGCCACAGCCTTAATAATATTTACCATAGATTTATTTCTTTCAATATCATCATTAAAATATCTAATAGTGTCTTCATCAATTGTAGCCTGCTTCTTAAGAACGCATCTAATTTTTGGTTTAAACTTTTGAGTATCTTCATTTTTATTTAGTGTACTCGGTTCTTCTTCAGCCCATGGTTCATCGCACACATCTAAAATGTTTTCTGAACTGACAGTTTTACTGATTGTAATTACAGGTATTCCATCGGACCATATTGAAGATTCAGAATCTTGGCGAATATTTGTTGGAATAGGAGTATTATTAAGTATCTCTTTAATAGTATGTATTTTAATAATACCAGAATTTTCTCTAACTACTTTAGATGTAGATGGTTCGTCCCTAATAATTTCTTCCTTAATTGGAAAGGTATTTTTTATACCCGTTCTATTTCTACTTATATGTTTAGATTTTTCTTTTCTTCTGCTGTCATCCTTAATATATTTAGTTTTATTATAGTCTGAATTCTGATGAATAGTAACATCTTTAGGTGTCGACTCAGTTCTTGGACTAAATATTTCCCTGGTACTATGAATATTTCTATTAATATCAGAATTGTCTTTGTTAACTTTGTCGTTAATTTGTACATGCTTAGTTTCTGTAGTTATTTCAAAAGATTTAGTTGGCTGAATTTCTGATTTTGTTTTCTTCAGCTGTATCGCTTTCCGAGCTACATTCTGAAAATCAGTTTTTCCCCAAGAAAAGGAAGGTTTAATTTCTCTGGTTGTTGCTTTAGTTGTTAAAGTGTCATAAGGAAGGGAGTCATGTTGTTCCGTGTCCGTCCCATCTTCAGCATTCTGATCATCATCTGATGTTGAAGACTTGCGTAAAGCACGCTTGATGAATTTTGAAAAGAAATCTAGAACAAAATTTGATATTTTTATATTAGATTTATATTGGTCCAAATATATACCTTTGCCTCTAGTTTCAGTTCGTTCATCTTTATTCTTAACATCTTCTGCTTCCTGCTTCGGTGTTTCATCTAAACTTTTACCAGATGGTAAGTTTCCAATAAGTTTTTTCCATTTGTTAAAAGGAGCGTTTGATAGTTCATTGGATTCTCCAGAACCTCCTCGTCTTCTTCTGTCTGCTAGTTGAAACATTTTTCTTCTTTCTTCAGTTCGCTCTCTTCTTAACTGGATCTAAAAGTTTAAAAGACAACCTGAATTGTATATAATTCACTTCGTTGTTAACTTAAAAATATAAACCAATTATTTCAACAACAAATAGTTTCACTGGCCTTTTTTATTACCTTTAATTCTTCATTTGCTTCCCTTAGAGAGTTAGTCAATGATATCAAATAGTAGATTATCAAAATTAAAAGAACTAGCAGAGGAATAACTATACCAGGTGAAGCAATGTAGTCCAAAGCTCGTTGAAGAACTTTTGGGACATTATCTTGAATAGTGTTAGTAAATATATGAAAAATTCTTTTATATTTAGAAAAAGGACCACAATGCCAAGATGGTTTGATCCACACGACTGTATAACCCACTGGTAATACACAAAGGAATAACATCATGAGAAGTAAGTAATAGTAGAAGTTATTTGATCTAAAAATACAATAAAAAAATTTAAGTTTTGGGCTCTTGTAACAAACAATATAAATTATATAACATTTGTACCTGGAGGCTCTAAAAATTACTTCAGGAGGCACGTTGCAAGTCATAACAGCCCAAGCTTTAAAGTACATGGTAATGTATAATTTAAACACGTTGAACACTACTAATCCAGGACAAAAAAACATTCCCATCCATACCATGCCTTGGTTGTTGACAAGGCTTAAAATATTTTCTGCTACTTTAAAGTCACCATATTTTGGAAATTTCTTTTCCAGATCCCAACACCAACATCTAAAAAGTTTTAATATTATTTAGTCATAAATCATGAAGACATTGGAAAGGCTATGCAAGAGGTACATCAATCCCACTACACCCAAATCAACATGCATATACCCCAGGCAGATCTACTGATTCAGCCCTTCACCTAGTTGCTGTCCTAATAAAGAGATTCCTGGACAATAAGGAGTCCGCCGTGGATATTCTCATAGATAAAGAAGGTGCTTTTGATAAAACCGCCTTCCCCAAGATAATACACTCATTAACCAACAGGAATATTACACAGATGGCTAAACTCATAATTTTAGAACATGTGAACATAAGAGATTTGGTTGCGAGGGGATGTCCACAGGAAGAGGATATATAACCTCTACTGTGAAACATGATCCTCGACAACCTCAGTTGCCTCAATAATGATAGTACAAAATAGCGTATGCAGATGACCTGGTCATTCTGCATAGAGGAAATTTTGAGAACATACTCTGCGAAAGAATGCAAATAATTCTCAAAATTATAGAACAGTGGTGCAAGGAACATTCAGTCTATCAATCCTAAGAAGACAGAAATGATCCCAGTTGTATGGGTACCAAAAACTCAAAAGTTGACAGCTATCCGCAAACTAGAACAAATTGAAAAAGCAGCATGTTTCAAAATAACAGGAGCCGCCAAGAAAATCATATTTAGTCTCACGTCCCTTGATATATACATCAAAGACGTTGATCTGATGACAATGATACGTTTCCGCGCGGTTGGAATAGAACCTGATGTAGGTGAGGCGAGACGATTTGGTAGGAGGCACTCGATACACTCCCACTGCTTTAAGCGAACGTGGACTCCATATCCAACAAGGTTCAGGATGTGGAATTTAATCCAGATCCTTAAACTTAAACATAAAATGGACTGTAAGCAATAGCGCCAGTGTAGTTCAAACCGAGCTTACGGTGATTTTCATATCAGCAGTTTCACTAGAAGAAACATGATAATTTATACAGATAGCAGACAAGCACTACTCACCCTGTACAGACCACGAATGTACTCAGGATTAGTTATTAAATATTACGAAGCTTTGGTCGAAGTATCCATTAACCATGTGGTCACCTTAAGATGGATCAAAGGTCAAGCCACATCGAAAGGTAACCGTCTTGCTAATTCACTAGCCAAGAAGGTAGCCAACCAAATACTTTTGAAACCTGAGCCCTCTATTGGAAAAACAACACTAGTAGTGACAGACCTAATTAAAGAACATTCAAAATCCGAGGTACCCAAGGAGCTTTTAAGTTATCCTGGCAATACTACAGCAACCAAATTCTTGACTATGACAAGACACAATCTGCGCCTAATCACAGGCATTCTGATTAGTCATTGCCAAGTATGGAAGAATCTTCATATCATAGGGCTATCAGAATTCGCTCTCTACATTTGTGTTCGGAAAGTATCGGCTAACAGCGACCATTATAAGAAAAGCAGCTCTTGGCGACGTTGTAAACTACATTAAATCTGTAGGCTGGCTCACGAGATAGGAGGTGCCTATCTACTGAGAAGGATGTCCATTGGGCTAAGTGAGGTCTAAGTGCTATGGGGCAACCCACACTCCACAAGATTCAGATGCAGACAGTCATAAATTAAACAAAACAAAAAACTAGAGCAATCAATAAAGCATTAGAGGTAGTGATGTTTATTTTAAGTGTGTGCCATTGTTATGAATTAGTTTTTTATGTTATTCGCGCCATGTTTTGTAAAATTCAAGCAGTCACTTATTAAAGTGCTCTATATGTTGGAAAATGGAGGAAACGTATTAGTTCTACTCCGAAGATAGCGACTAGAAAATAAAAAAAGAAGCTATAGGTATTTCTGAAATAATTTCGACTACACAGAGTGGTTCCATTACCACAGAACATATATTAAGGTGTTTTAAAACCAACTGGAAATACTAAAAAATTTGAGATATTTACACGATAGCTTTCTGTTTTGGTTACATATTTCATGAGAAATTTTAGAAAATTTAAAATATATTGAAAAAAATTACTAAGAAAGCGGACACTCAATTAGATCAAAGTGGGGTTCCAGGGCGTCCCATTGGGATCGGTCCTCGGACCAATACTGGTAGACGTGTTATATGATGGTGTACTAATATTAGAACTCCCAAAAGAGGAACAAACGATTGCGTATGCGCTAATTGAAAAAATACCGCCGAATATCAAAGGACCGAGCGGCTACAAAAGAATGATGCTTAACGCAGTTCTGCAGTCCATCTTATTATAGGGCGCCCCTGAGTGGAATGGTATATTACACATGAAGAAATACAGAAAACTTTTTAACAGGTTGCAAAGGAGGATGCTCTTTAGGATCGCTTCTTTCTATAGAACATTATTCGGAGAAGCACTTAATGTGAGGCGTGATCTTTATACCTACTTGTAATGGAAAGGCAACACCTGTATCAAACGGGTAGAGGACATGACAAATAAGCCAAACAACAAATACTCCGAGAAATAATGGAGTCCTGAGAAGATAGATAGAACTCCAATAATAATGCGGTAACGCAATGGACCAAGAAACTCATTCCGCAAATTCCATCGGATAGGCTATTTTCTTACCCAATTTCTAAAAGGGCATATAATATATAATTTTTTCGCAGCTATACTTGGCGAATCCAGCAGGTAGAAGACGATAGTCAAAAAACATACCATTCTTAAATGCAACAAATGAACGAGCCAGGATCATCTTACAACAGGGATCAGCGAGAAACTCAATTCGGATAACATTATCGATTGTATGACGAGTAACAAATACAAGTGGAAGACAATTCACGCATTCATGAGAAATAAAGACCAAGTAAAGGGAGAAACGCCAGGTAGGACCAAGAGAGACCATCAAACATCGACGGAAGAGGGGATGTTTTAGTCGGTAGGAGCCCAGCACTATCAATCAGCGATTAAACCGGGTGATGGGTGCCCAGAATGTTTTCTTCCTTCTAAATCCCCCGGAACCTAATAATTTCTAAGGTGGAGTAGGCAGATGATATGTGCTCTACAGATTCGTCTTCTACGCAGTAGAAGTTTGTTGTAGACTTATTCTTCTCATGTGGTTACCTTGATGGCACTTTCACGTCACGAGTCCTGTAGGAATTCGTAGATCATTTCTACTCCATTTCCAAATCTGAGCAGAGGCGTTCATAGAAGAGTTAGGTTAAAACGACTTCGAATGAGTTAGCTCTAGAGAATTTCTCCAGTGGAGCATTCAACACTTTGTACATTCTAAGGTAAGTTATATGGTACGATTCTTTACTATATCAAGAAATGGTTCTGGCCGTTTACTCTTTTTTCTCTTTTAGCGAGCGCGTCAGGTATTTAAATATCTTCTACACCACTGTAACCCAGGTCAATTTAACTTTGTTCTGGTCATCAACGCGTCTTAGGGTATGTATACGGTTTCAAATTAACTTTGAGTAAAATCACTTAAAGCTTAGGGTTTTAGAAAATATTTTTAAACAGGTATATCAAGATGTTATTTTTTAATCAAAAATTATTTTAATAAATACCTATTCATAACACGAACAAAAATTCCTCTAAAAAAATCCATCCCTAAAGCGGGTACTATGGTCATAATTAGATCCATAACGGTAATACTTATTAACTCTTGGCCAAACATAGTCTCCCAACATAGATTACGAAATCTAGCTCTCGTAGTATAATTCATTCCTTGTTCAACATTTTCTGGAGGCATGTATGTTTGATCGCAAATCTCCTTACAATACGGCGATTCCGTAGTACTTTCTTCTTGCAAAGCTGTAGACGTGAAATCAAAACTTGTCGATGATGAGAAATCATAATCGAATCTATCTAAATCAGTACTATCACTGCTATTCAATAACGGGAAAATCGTTGAACTGAATTCTTCCCAAGTTGTTGTAGTGATATTATCGCTTATGCTTGTACTCTTTTCGTAAGTCATGGTTGAATTATCGTCATCTGGTAAAGAAAACAAAAGCGAAGTAAGGTAATCGGTAAGGTTAAATTCTATATCGGTCAAATTTAATTCTTGGGAAGCAAAATTAGTTGTGTTATCAATCGTGATATTTAGGGTTCCGATAATTTTTTCTTGTATAATACGATTTACAAAATATATTAAGGATGTATTTAAGGACTGAATATCCGATATAGATTCGTTGAATGTTGTTGTTATGTTCGTAACTACGAGAGATGTTATATTCGATACTAAATCCGAAAGTTGTGAAGTTAGATCAGAATAATCATTTTCTGAAATTAAATTTCTTGATAATAGGGGTTCTTTGTTTAAGATGCATCCACATTCAGTCACATCTGTGTAATCTCTGGGCGCAGCTGTAGTTGACATCGACATGGATTCGTTCAGCATTTTTGTTATATTTTTGAAAGTTTGAAGTTCTGTTGTCTAAAAATAAGGTTAATATAAAGAAAAATCTAGATAATTGAATAAAAATTACATACCATATCACCAATTTTGTCAATCAATGCAAATATTAAAGAATATAAATTTACCAAGTTTAGTACCATAATTCTGAAAAACAAAAATTTCATTAGAGGCAGACAGGTATAATGATTTACATTTATGTTTTTAATTTTGCGAGTAGGTATAATTTGCTAGTGCTGGTATTTAAGTAAGCGTAATAATAGTCAGAGTTTAAATGAACATAAATATTTTTTTAACACGGAAAATAATTGACATCGATCGACTGTACTTTATGGCTTGTTCCAACTACGGGCCGCGTTCCTAATGATGCCCGTACGGGCCATTTGATGGTATTTACTTGTAATAGATCCCATTTTGGACCGCGATTAGGATATTAGGATATGCGATATTTATTCGGTGAATTCTATTTGAAATATTTTGTAATTTTGAGAAGAACTGTTGTTTTTAGTAAATGTCAGCAAATCAGTTGTATTAGAGAACTGAAGTAGAGCTTTGCCGACATTTGGAATTGTAACTTTATTTTCTTGATCTATTGTTATTCATCCACTGCATTGTCCAATTACACATTTCCAATTCTTGCTAAGGTTTTTGTTCAATATTTTTAAACAGTACTTCGAAACACCCTGTATAAATGACATCAATTTTAATTTATGTAAATTAAAAAGACATTACCTATTAAGCACCTATTATTTAAATAACTTTATTATTATTAGGTCTTTAGTGCATATCATGAAGAAAATTAAATATTAAGTGTTTAATAGACGATTATTAGTCCAATAAATGAAGGACTAAAATGATCGAAAGCTGTAAAAAAATCGTTGATGAGTTCCCACGTAGTTCAATTGTAGGTCATCGCAAGTGTTTTTAAATGATAAAATCCCTAACGCGTTCTTGGTACCAGAAGGGGCTGAAAATGGACCCCTAAACTCTAAAAAATGGGTTTCCCGCTAATATCTGGCTAAATATGCCAATTAGAGAATTTTTGTTTGAACAAAAAATGAAGATCAGCTTATTCTCTACAAAAATGATCCCTACCAATTTTTTCACAATGCCAATATTTTTTGCAAAATCAGACTTCGAAAAATCCATAATTTTCATATTGAATAGATATGGTAGTTTCTTGCCGAATTTCCGCTCGATGTGGTTGGACATGCATTTATCTTCATCTTTTGGACTTTAGAGACCAATTGCAGATGGCGCCAGCACCTTTGCTCTTCTCGCTAAATTACGGAGTCTGTAAATGAAAATCTTGTAAATAATCGATTATTCGACAATTACTGGCGGATTTCACCTGATTTTTTTCTGCAAAGTAGCGCTTGGTCTCTCTCAATTGTATTAGCGAATGTTCTGTGCAACTTGAGTTGCAAATTTACCAGAAAATTGCAAAAATTTATTTTTCCTTGTGCCAAGGTCTTCCCAGCAAACACTTTCGATATTATTAGCTATAACTCGACTTGTTAAAAGTCAAATCTACTTATTGAGGTAATTATTACGTAAAATTAACTTGAAAAATATACCTGTACTTTAAATTTACCAAATGGTTCTTATTTATGTATAAATTTACGTACATTATACCAAGCATTCTACCTCGTACACATATCTGCTTAAAAGTAACTTTAACCAAATTAGAAAGGGGAAACTACCAACAAAAATAACCAAAAATTACCTCAAAGGTAAATTTTCTTTAAAGTAAAATTAGGTATTATAATTAGGTAGCATCTGTCGGAGTCATGTAGTTAACCTGGTATGTTATATCGGAGTATGAATGCGAATAAAAGGTTTTGCTTTTTCTGTGACAAATATATTTTTTGTTGACAAGTTATATTTATTTATATCTGTCTAAAACTAAAAATCACATGGTAACGTAATAAAAACAGAGGCAGTACACTACAAATACTCCCCCCTTAAACAAAAACAATATTATTTAATTGATTACAAAAGAGACTTTCTTTTTGGGTTTACCTGAATCTACTTCAGGGATATGTTTTGAAAGGAAAAAAGCTGGTTTAATTCTGTCAATGCTAACCACATATTCTCTATTGTCTTTATTAATTAAAAAATTCTTGTCAAAACGTTTTATAACTTTGAAAGGTCCTTCAAAAATGGGCGATAATGAACTTCGAAAACCTTCTGTTTTAATAAAAACATACTCACAGGTGTCTAACTCTGACGAAATAAATGTGGTTTGAGTTGAATGATGTCTTGGATTTGTTGGCTTAATATTATTAAAAATATCGTGAAGGCTACTTAATAAAGGGTTAATCTCAAGGACATTCTGACTTTGGACGAAAAATTCACCTGGGAGGCGTAAAGGCTGGCCATATACGAGTTCAGCCGAGGAACACCCAATGTCATCCTTAACTGCGCGGATGCCCAATAGAATTAAAGGTAATTCTTCTTTCCAATTGGTGGTGTTTCCTCTAGCTATTAGTGCAGATTTCATAGTGCGATGAAATCTTTCCACCATACCATTACACTGGGGGTAATAAGCAGATGTATGAATTTTATGACAACCAAAAAATTTTGTAAATTGTTCCATTAATTTAGATTCGAACTGCCCACCCTGGTCTGTCGTAATGGTATGAGGAATACCAAATCGGGAGAAATATTGTTGGAATAAAATTTTAGCAACATTTTCTGCACTAATATTACTAAGAGGGTATGCTTCAGGCCACCTCGTGAACCGTTCGACTACTGTCATGATATAATTGCATCCTCCTGATTTAGTCAGAGGCCCGACTAAGTCGACATGAATGTGTTCAAAACGACCTTTAATATCAAATTTGCCAATAGGGGCTTTAGTATATCTATTAACTTTAGTTAGCTGACAATTAACGCAAGATTTTGTCCATTTAGTTATGTCAGAATTCATCCGAGGCCAATAATATCTAGATCCTATTAACTTTTTTGAAGATTTAATTCCAGGATGAGAAATACCGTGAATATTCGAGAAGATAGTAAATCTAATATTTTTAGGAACATATGGACGATATTTACTTGACGAAACTTCGCACCAAAGTTTTGTTTCCAAAAGTGGTATATCTATTTCTTGTAATTTGTGATAGCTGTTATCTTTCTGACTACGCAATAATTGTTGCAACTCAATGTCATCATTTTGGTATTGTTTAAAAGACTTTATATCTAGCTGGATAAAATTCGAGGGGGTTAGTTGTGGCAATATTTCTGGGGAAGTAATTTCTTCTAACCGAGATAATGTGTCACTAACCAAATTTGATTTGCCCTCGATATGCTGAATGTCTGAAGTAAATTGAGCAATGAGTTCTAAGTATCGAAACTGACGTGGACTTTTTTCGGTTTTCGAGGTCAAAACGTTGGTAAGAGGTTTATGATCCGTAAAAACCGTAAACTGATAGCCTTCTAACAAATGACGAAAATGTAAAATGGCAGAATAAATTGCAAAAAGTTCTCGGTCGAAAGTGGAATATTTCATTTGGGTTTTTGATAACTTTTTTGAAAAATATGCGAGAGGTTCCCACGAATTATCAGAAAGTTGTTCTATGACACCACCTATGGCATAACCTGATGCATCTACTGTTAAGGACAATTTGCAGTTTGGGCGAGGGTGTACTAATAGCGATGCTTGGGCTAAACCGTTTATAGCGGCGATAAAACTATCTTCATGTCTTTCTGACCACTGTGAAATCGTCTTATCCCTCTGATTTTGTAAAGAAGTCATCAGATCGTAGAGCGGTATCAAAACATTAGCGAAATTTGGAATAAAACGATGATAAAAATTTATCATTCCAACGAAACGCTGGAGATGTTTGAGAGTCTGGGGGCGGGGAAACTTTTTAATAATTTCTACACGCTCCTCTGATGGCAGAATACCTTCCGCAGATACTAAATAACCTAGAAAGTTTAATTGAGGAACTCCAAAAACGCTCTTACTAAGGTTGAGGTTAATTCCAAAAGAATTTAGCCTTTCGAATAATATTGTTAAGTGTTGAAGATGTTCTTCATTATTTTTACTGGCTATTAAAATATCGTCTATGTAGACATAGCAAAAATCTAGGTTTTGTAAAACTTGATTAATAAATCTTTGGAAAGTTTGGGCCGCATTTCTTAACCCAAACGGCATACGAAGGAACTCGAATAATCCAAAAGGTGTTATAATATCGGTTTTATGAATATCTTCCTCTGCCATAGGGATTTGGTGATAAGCCCTAACCAAATCAATCTTTGAAAATATGGTACAACCGTGTACATTTATGTTGAAATCCTGTAAGTGAGGAAGTGGATACCTATCCGGTATAGTGACATTATTTAGTTGTCTGTAATCTCCGCAAGGACGCCAGTCACCTGGATCTTTTTTGGGAACCATATGTAATGGTGATGCAACAGAAGATGAGGATGGCCTACAAATGCCTAAACCTACCATTTGTTCAAATTCTGCTTTTGCAATATTATATTTTGAAGTATTAAGACGTCGAGCGTGCGACGATGGTAAGTGACCATTTGTTATAATTTGATGTTTTACAGTATGTGTGATAGGTAAGGAATAGTTCGGAGGAGAAGTTAAATTAGGGAAATCCTGAATAAGTTTAGCGAATTCATTTTCTATGGTTAAAATTTTTGGGGATAAAGGGATATTATTTTCAGAGATAAACCCGCTTACCGAAAGTTTCGTTTCATTGTCAATTAAACATTTATTTTTTAAGTCAACTAATAACCCAAAATAAGAAAGAAAATCTGCACCAATGATAGGGTGCGAAATATCGGCCACCGTAAAAACGAAAGGAAAAACTCGTCTGAGGCCTAAATTAACCTTAAGGAATTGTTTTCCAAATGTATTAATGGTGGAACCATTCACTGCTGTAAGAAATAGATCATCTGATTTTTTAACATTTTTAAAAACATCACGAGGAATGACTGAAATGTCAGCCCCTGTATCGATTAAAAAATTAAATTTATTATTTGCGTCAAAAATAAATAAGCGACGGTTTACATTTTTTGTAGATCCACTCGCTACCGCCGAAGCTTTGGATAAAATGCACCAAGGTCCTCCGCATCTGATAGCATTCTTTTGAAATTTTTTGTGATAATAACAAATTTTCAAGTTATTTACT